AAAATATTCATGGGCAGTAGAGTCATAAAGATGACTCCTACGTATGCCGATAACAATCCCTCGGCAATGATTACACAGTACTGTACATAAAACGAAACAAAAAAGTAAATTTCGTAGAGGTGATTATGTACGGGTCAATTCGAACAAGACCGTATTTGAAAAAGGCTAATTGAGTAATTGGTCTTTTGAAATATTTACAATAGCAAAGGTATGCAATACTATACCAATAACCTATCTTCTTGAAGACGAAGTTTTTTGACCGTTCGGTTTTTTGCGTGTTCCATCTTCAATGGACTTGTGTATTTTTGTATGTTCATTTCTTTCAAAAATCAACTCCCCCTAGTTTATAAGGTACGGCCAACGGCCTTATTTAACATCATCCCTAATCAATATTGTAAGAACATTTATTACTGTGTTCTTACCACTTATATTACACACGTTTTATTTCTATTTATTGAATTCGTAATACATATTAATTAGCATAGAGGGAGATGCTGATGTTACAATTCTACTCGTCTGTAGCCCGGAGCTACTGACGTCGAACTAACAAAGGGCAGTTGTGTTTGAGTGGCCGTTATAGACATAGTTTTCAATACTATTACTTTTATTTTATTTATATTATTTATAATTTAACTTGTTTTATTCAACAACCCGTCTATCGCCAATTGTCATCATAGCCAACCAACTCCGTCTCATTTGGAAATACCTACTAACCAACTGTACTAGGATTCAGGTCAGACGTATTGTACATTACATATAACTTATATTTACTAAACATCTAAAATATAACTTTACTTTGTCGTTGACATAAAACAATAGTCTAATTTTATTTAATAATCTATCCCCTGTAACTAAGGTACACGATTGCCTGTGTCTCCTTCAGGCAATTAAAACTCATTTAAGGAGATAGGGACGATATTTGGGCAGACGTCGGGTAGCTTCCGATTCTTGGTTTTGACCAAGATCCTCAACTATTAAACAAGCCCCTAACAATATGGATATGTGACAACTGTCATGAGGTTTTGGTGTGCATCAACTATAAATGACTCAACAAACATCAAATACAATATTAGGACTTTTCTATTTTAGCTTCGATGCGAAGCTGAGAAAGTATTGGTTTTACTATGATGTGTTTATTTATTTATTTTTTTTTTTTTGTGTGTCTGTTACCACTTTTTCTCAGCTCTCACCGAACGGATTTCTTTCAAAGATACGTCAAAAGATCACAAATCGTATCTAGTCGAAGACATTACCCTTCAAAATTGAAAAAATTTCTCTCGTTACCCGTAAATGGGGGAAACCTCCAAAAAAATTACAAATTTAAAAATCACTTATTTTCGAAATTTTTTCAATTTTTTTTTACTAAAAACTGCCGTAACTTTTTCAAAAATGAACATACGAATATAATTCTTTTTTTATAGATGCATGATGTCATTACTTATCATTTGGTATATTTTTTTTATAAATCTGACTTTTATAAATATTTACGAAAGAAAAATTGTACAATGTTAACATAAATAACTGTCATTTTAAATACATGATTAACAGACAATTTGACTAAATAGAAATAGAGCAAACATCGACACAATATTTTTGAATATAATATTCTATAATTAAGAAAATAAAATTCATTATTTCTATTAACACTCACGCCCCTGTATGATTTATAATACTTCAAAAATATTTTCATTTACACAAATGTATTTATATATATATATATATTTTAGTTTAATTAGTGTAAGCTATTTATGTTTAAGTATACATCTGTATATATTTCTTACTATAGTAATTTATTAATAAAATTCACGAAGAAAATAATAAAATATTCTATATCACGAGCGTTAAAATTATTAATATGAAATATAAAATTGATTAAGATGAAATTAAAAATTTTTAGTTAGAAAAATGAAAAATTTGGAAAAATAATAATTAGAAAAAGATAAGGAAAAAATATTATGAGAAACATATTATATTTTTCACGTGAAACCTCTTTTTAACCAAGTTAGAAAGACTTGATTTTTCTGCGTTTCTATACCTTAATCAATTTTGCTTAGTAATTGTACCGTGTTAGTTAAGGTTTGAATAAAACAGCCTTATTAAAAAGAGTTTTTGGTGAAAAATTATAGAAAATAAATTTCAAATTATAATTATAGGCGGTCTACCTAGGTCATTCGGTAACGCTTGAAACTTCGGTGCGTAGGTACTGGGTTTTTTAATCCGTTGCGTTAAGCTATGTAGTTTTTCTCGTCTTCTCTGGTACAAGCAATAGCTTTTAGAGAGTATGTTAAACATGATTAACAAGATACATATATCTGAACATATTAAATTAACGAAATGCCACTTCAGGTTAAATATGTGTATTTAATGTAATGAATGAATTATAAATCATAGATATTCAGTGTAATTTTGTGCATTTGATTAATATAAAAGATACATTTGGTACGATAAACTACTCGTTATTTACTTTGAAATCTTTACGCTTTTTGATATATTATATGAGAATTTTAAGTAATTAGTCACTTTCCCAGGAACTCGTTGTAAAACATTAGATAAAATAGCTTTTCAAATCTTTCTAAAACTTCATGATGTACAAATATTCTTTCTACAATCTATCTATTTAAATTATTTCTCAGAAAATTAATATACTGAAGAATGAAATATTAATTTTAATAACGCTGCTCATTTAACGTTGGATTAATAGTCCATATCTGTTAAAAACTATTCTTACTGCTTCCTTTTTTTCCATTATGTACTAACTGCAGTGGCGTATTTATGGAGGGGCAAGTAGGGGAATTTTCTACTGCCTAATAATGCAATATTTTTGCTTAAGGATATTTTTCATTATATTAGATGAATATAAATAATCATTTGTAATGTTTTTTTTATCAATCACATAAATAACCAATTACAAATAATTTGTATCTACAACTTTATTATATGATTTTCGATCATGAGTATTAAAACTTACTATGGTTAGTGTCAGAAGCCGAACTGCCACCTAAACCCTAAAATTAGATACGCCACTGCAAAACTATATAATATTTAAACTCTATTAGTATCTATATTTATTATTTTAATAACTTTTGTACAAATTGTTTTATTTAAAAATAAATACTACATAAAGCCGTATATATTATTTCAATTAATTTGCACATAGAAATAATTTTTTGTCGATTTCAAGTGTTGAATAAATTACAGTCTCTTTTTGGACATTTTAATGTCGACTATGTGCATATAACACTTACAGCTATTAATATTAGAACAGCTGAATTGGACTGTTACACATTACGGTTGTGTTGTATACGATTTTATAGTCAAAATTGTTAAGGGTACTGCAATTATGTTTCTCGACAAAAACAATTATTCACAGTCAAGTTTAATCAACTAATTTATAAACAGTCAAAGTTTTGCATTAAATAAACAATTTTATTCAATGAATATTCGTCAGAGGAAAATAAAGAAGGAAATTCAGTTTGATGAGTTGTTAAGAAATTGTTATAAAATATTTAGTTGCTATATAAATAATTTTTTTTAGCTTTGATGCGAAGGATCTGAGAAGGAATTAATTTTAGTATAATGTTTTTTTTTCTTGTGTCTGTTACCACTTTTTCTCAGCTCTCACCGAACCGATTTCTTTCAATGATACGCCAAAAGATCACAAATCGTATCTAGTCGAAGACATTACCCTCTAAAATTAAAAAAATTTCCCTCGTTCCCCTTAAATGGAGGAAACCTCCAAAAAAATTACATATTTAAAAATCGCTAATTTTTTCAATTTTTTTAATTAAAACTGCCATAACTTTTTCAAAAATGAACATATCAATATAATTTTTTTTTTATAGATGCTTGATGTCCTTACTTATCATTTGGTATATTATTTTCATAAATTTAACCCTTTACCAGGCCACAGGAGCCTTTCCCAAAAATGGAATCTGTTTATTATTGTAATATACAAAATAAACATTTGTTAAATTAAGATGTTATCTATTTTAACAGTAATAAAAGAAATCTGAGAATTATGAAATTTTTGCACATAAAATATAATTTATAATTTGTTTTGCAATATATTGGCTTAGTAAATGTGAGAGTACAGAATTTTTATTTAGGACTAATTGTATTAATTATAAATATATAAAATATCACTTTTCGTAATCATTATTATAAAATATTGTTGATTATCATTAGCAACTAGAAACGAACAGAATTATGAAAAAAATCTAGTATCTGCTATTTGAAATTTGAAATTCAATTATAGAAATTAGGCTAAAATGATAGAACTATTATCATTTTAACTTGTATTTCGCAGATTAGTATTTAATGTAAATGCGTAAGACTTGTATGGGTGTCAACTTTGTTTTTCAAATGGGAATACATATTTTGAATTAAATAAAATGTTCAAAATTTAACTTTATTATTAAATTGCATTTAAATTTTTAGCATAACATTATAAGTTTTTTTTTTTAATTCCTTTTTTCACAACTTTGAATATGTAAATATTATAGATCGACAATTAACTTTATTCATTAATTAGATTTAAAAGTTTACAATTAAAATTGCAACTTCAATTAGTTAACTGATGGGAAGCTGACAAGGTATTGGTTTTACTAAGATGTGTTTTTTTTTTTTTTTGAGTGTCTATTATCACTTTTTCTCAGCTCTCATCGAACCGATTTCTTTCAATGATTCGTCAAAAGATCACAAATTGTATCTAGTCTAAGACATTACCCTCAAAAATTGAAAAATATACCCTCGTTCCCCGTAAATGGGGGAAACCTCCAAAAAAATTACCCAATCAATATAATTTTTTTTTTATAAATGCTTCGTGTCTTTACCTATTATTTAGTATATTTTTTTTGTAAATCTGACTCTTAAAAATATATAAAAATAAAATTTTTAAAAATACGAGTAAACACGTAGTTTTTCAACTTAACTTTTGAAAATATTCCGGAAATACTGAGTATTTTAAACATATATCTAATTAAAGCTTACTTCTCATCTCTATATGGTATATTATTGTTGTTGCAGAATAATTTTAGAAAGCCAAAGTAATGGAGTTGCATAAAGTCTGACTTTGAATAATACTGTTGAAATAAATAACGATGTGCCTAATAAACCCGAATATACTTATCTATTTTAGAACTTTTAGAAATTTTAGAACTTCCTGATCTACCTAATGATTGATTCACTGACGATGAATTAGCAGCAATAGCAAACCTTTATAATCATAATACATACATATTCAATGACACTGACAAAGCGATCAGCACAATTTACTTGCCGTAGTACTTGAGGCGAATTACTTGTCCACTTTTTTAGACAGCAGCCACACGTCTTTAATAATCCAGTCAAATCGTTCTGAATTCTTAATAATTCATCAACGTGTCAGCGCCGATCATAATATCGTCGAAGTGCGTGGATTTAGTCAATACACTTTTTGCAGCAGAAAACCCAGACCCATTTTTAGCGTCTAACTCATAGAAGCATTTTAGGGTGAGGTAAGAAGCTGACGTAACACCATACGTAACTGTGCATAACTCATATTCAATAATCTCGGACTCGACTGAGTCTTGCCACAAAATATGCTGATACCATGGAAGTCTGCGTCTCGGACTAATACCTGGCGATACATTTTTGTAATATCAGCGGTTAACACACAACGCTTAAGCCTATTCTTTTGAATAATGTCGAATATATCGTTTTGAAGTGTATGACAGTTAATAATACGTTATTCAAGGAATATCCGGTTGATGTGGTGGCACTTGCGTCAAACACCACACGTACTTTTTCGACATTTACGCCATCGCGTTTTACTACGGCATGATGCGGTATGTAATAATAACCAGGTTGAGTGACCAGCCACTCATATGACCCAGATTGGCATATTCAGCTATGAATGCGCAGTACTCGGCATATAACATTGGATCTTCCATTAATCGCATTTCTAAATTATACGGCGGCAACGTATCAGGGGGCTGATTAACACATTCGGAACTACAAACGGAATCGCGAAATGGAAACCTTCAAATTTTAGTATGTGAAGGCAATTGAAGCTGAATAAATTTAAACTCAGAATAAATTCAAGTCTTCACTTTCAGGCCTGCTGAGAAGTATTGCTCCCAACGTAGCACTGCACATACCTAAAACTACAGGTCGAAACGAGGTAAATTAATCCAATTTCTATAGGTAAACCACAATCGTAGTAAATGTTGATTATTTTATTATTATAAAATTGATTTAGTAACATTATTTTGTCGTTGGCCAAAAAGTCTTGTTTACTTTTTATTTAAGCCAATTAATATAACAAAATATTTTTATTGATTAGCTAACAATTATTAAATGTGTTTAATAAAATAACTTATTTCAATCACTAAATTACAATTGCTTTTTATCCTCATGTTTATGATCACCATAATAGATTGTATTCAGCCAATATTTAAATTACATTTTTTCGAATTATACAGGTGATTGACTAACTATTCCTCGCGAATTTTCTTATAATATTGGTGTTATCATATATGTAATTATTTTATTTGCTGTAAATCTTTGTTGAACTAGTTGACAGGAAAAATAAAGATTCTATCTTTATCCCTTAACCCTCAAATCAAATTTAGTTTTTCAAATATTCTCAAAAAAAAAAAAAATCAATTTTAATAAATTTGAAAGATATTAATATTTAAAGTTCGGGGGATTTAACAAATAAAACAGTAGTTAGGTAAATTCAGTAACATTAATGTTTAGTGTACTATTAAGAACTACCGATGTATTTAACTGCAACGGGAAAAACTTAGAAACGCTTGCTCTTCTTTGACGTGAGTAATAAAATAAATTATAGCTCCCTGATAATTGAATAAAATAGAATAAATTTTTACAAAAAATTATTTTAAAACTAAATTTAATCTGATAATATGAAAAAACTAGGATTACCATTTGAAAATTAAATTTTGATACTGATTTAAAGCATTAGGAATGATCAAAAAAATATAATTTTACTCACTGAGCAGACCAAGATAGAAACAATATTTCATAAAGAAAAAAAAATTATTCTTATATTTTCTTAGATAATTTGTAAAACATAGTTAATCGATCCCTCTGTACATGTATACGCCAGAATAAAAAGCAATTGTAATTTAGTGACCGAAATGAGTTATTTTAATAAACAAATTTAATAAATGTTAGCCAATCATTAAAAATATTTTGTTATATTAATTGGCTTAAATAAAAAGTAAACAAGACTTTTTGGCCAACGACAAAATTATGTTACTAAATCAATTTTTTCATTTTATATAACTGGAAAAAATATAATTTAAATATTGACTGAAAACAATTTATTATAATGATAATAAACATGAGAATAAAAAGTAATTGTAACTTAGTGACCGAAATGAGTTACTTTATTAAACAAATTTAATAAATGTTAGCTAATCATTCAAAATATTTTGTTATATTAATTGGCTTAAATAAAAAATAAACAAGACTTTTTGGCCAACGACAAAATAACGTTACTAAATCAATTTTTTTCATTTTGTATAACTGGAAAAAATATAATTTAAATATTGGCTGAAAATAATCTTGATAGATGGTGATCGTTAAATAACATATTTATTTTTGAAATAATGAAAATTTGTTTTAGGAACGTTATTTGTGGTTGACCAAAATATCNATCATGGTGATCGTTAAATAACATATTTATTTTTGAAATAATGAAAATTTGTTTTAGGAACGTTATTTGTGGTTGACCAAAATATCGTTAAAAAATTAGTATAAAAGATCTAGTAAACTGAAAATGCATTGGGACTTTTAGTCTAACCAGCGAACGAAGAACATAGAAGCTCTTGTGAAAGCCAAACTAGTCTATTAGTCTCAGTCGCGTCGAAATCAAAATTCAAAAATCTTGAAATCAACGCGACATTCGCAAGTCTATTTCCGAAAACAGCCGTCAAATTCATTTGCTATATTATTGAAAATAAATATGGCACCTTTGGAGATAGGAGATCGGATTGTCATAAGGTATTATGACTACATGCAAAATTTAACAGTTACCAAAGAAAATGACAAAAATCTTGAACAGCCCGAAGAGTATCGCGTTAAACTTCAAGGAATATGTGGGCAATTTAATAATTAATTAATAGAATTAATAAAAATTTTAATGAAATTTGTTAAAAGTTATGATAAACAATCAATCATTTTTATAATTTAAATTTTCAATGAATTAATCCTGATATTTATATAGAACAAAATAATGAAACCATTCATTGTGTACATTTAACATTTGAGAACTAAATTAAAGTCATGACATTATTACTGAAGACAGTGTCATCAAAAAAACATATTTGGCCTCAAATTAAAATTTAATTAATATTTAATATTAAGTAAATTAGTTATATATAAAATAAATTATATAGGCCTTAGAACAGTTTAAGGGTCACTATGATAAATAATTAAAGAAGTACTGTTACTATCATTAATTATTTCAATTTGTAATCTTGCTTTTTTGACTGAATAATCTAGTATTTGATAAGTTTGGGACAACTTTTTTATAGTAAAGATGCATAAAGTCAGGTAATTCGTTTTAATATCCCCTTTCATTAATAAACCCTTGAAAATTCGTGGATTAATTCTTAATTGATTTTCAGATAATTTCATATTATGATGACTATAGCAAATTTTAGTCGTACGTTGACATTTGGCTCTTAAATTAGAAGATACATCATAATTATTTGAACAATTTGATAATTTAAAGTTTTTGTGAGCAATATTTTTTGTTTAATATTACTTCTAAGTTCAGCGCTAAACCATAATGGAAATGTACTTTTTCCGATTTAATACGTCGGTATATATTTAAGAATCACGTCATTCAAACATTTTAAAATTTATTAACAAATGCAATCATTTCCCAATAAATTATTCCCATCTATAAATTCAACTCAACTTCCACAAGAGCTTCTATGTTCTTCGTTCGCTGGTTAGACTAAAAGTCCCAATGCATTTTCAGTTTACTAGCACTTTTATACTAATTTTTTTCCGTTTTTTTTGGCCAACAACAAATAACGTTGCTAAACATATTTTCATTATTTCAAAAATAAATATGTTATTTTACGATCACCATAATAGATTGCTTTCAGCCAATAATTAATTTATATTATTTCCAGTTATATATATATTGAAAAAAATTATTTTAGCAACGTTATTTGTCGTTGGCCAAAAAGTCTTGTTTACTTTTTATTTAAGCCAATTTAATATAACAAAATATTTTTATTTATATCTTAGTTTCTTAGTGACCGAAATGAGTTATTTTATTAAACAAATTTAATAATTGTTGGCCAAAAAGTCTTGTTTATCTTTTATTTAAGCCAATTAATATAACAAAATGTTTTTATTTATTTCTTAGTTTCTTAGTGACCGAAATGAGTCATTTTATTAAACAAATTTTATAATTGTTAGCCAATCATAAAAATATTTTGTTATATTAATTGGCTTAAATAAAAAGTAAACAAGACCTTTTAACTCGTATTGACATATTCAACATCTAAAAATAGTCTAAACACTCAGATTTGGAATGCTGAAAATTTGAAACCCAAAGACGTCAGCAATAGATATGAAAAGAATTATACATGGAAGAATGCGTATAAACCTGGACTTAAGCCGAACAATGACGCCGAACGTTATCCAGTGAGCAATGTAAAGCCGTATACGGCCCAGGATAGACTTATGAAATATCGTAAAATTGACGAACAAGAGTCAAATAAATTCAAACAACTCGAAAATAGACAACAATTTAACACCAATAATACACGTAATTCACCTCAAAACACTTCCGTATTAGCTAATAATTCCTTTAACACAAACATATCACAGTCAAAAAACAATCTTTCAACTCAACCGTTAAAAATATTGTCGGGAAATATTTACACGTCAACTCAAGAAAACAACACTTTAATAAATAATCCGAACAACTTTAATAGAAAACCGCTTAAGAAATTAACAAAAATTATTGAAACATCAGAAGACCTGGAAAAAACTAAAGAAAATAGAACTTTACGATGTGAAAATAATAACAAAAAAACCACTACTAGAACTCGTACACATGATATTAAAAAACATTTATGGAATAAAAGGTACTTATTGTTCTCTAAATTCGACCAAGGAATCATGATGGACTATGGTAATAAATTAATTATTTAAGCAAAATTTAGTATTTTACTATTAACGATAGCATTTTTTTTTTCAGAATCATTTTACTCCGTTTGTCCCGAGATTTTAAGCAAACATATAGCGTTGAGATTCCCTGGTCTAGACGTCGCTATGGATCCGTTTTGTGGTGCTGGGGGAAACGTCATCCAATTGGCCAAGAGATACAAACATGTAATCGCAGTGGATATCGATGCTAATAAATTAGAATTCGACAAAAGAAACGCCGAGATTTATGAAGTCAGGGAGAAAATTACATTTATACAGGGAGACTTCTTCGAAATTGAGGAAACTTTGAAAAAATATAAGCCACAAGTCATAGTGACGTCTCCCCCATTGGGCGGCCCATCGTATAAGAAACACGAAGTTTACAGTCTCGAGAAGCATATGTGTAAAGACTACGAAGGAGGCGGTAGAAAACTCTTCGACCTGCTGAGAAGTATTGCACCCAACGTAGCACTGCACATACCTAAAACTACAGGTCGTAACGAGGTAAATTATTCCATTTTCTATAGGTAAACCGCAGTTGTAGTTAATGTTGAATAATTAATTTTCTAGTTAATACAATTTGGAAAATTATTCGATCTCAACATGAAAATTCAACACAATTATATCGACGAAAGACATGATTCGATAACTGCGTTTTTCGGTCGATTTTTCAATATGAACACGAAATTCTTATCTAACGACAACAAACTTTATTCAGCTCAAGACCGACTTAACCAGTACAAGAACACCGTTACTCCGAAAGAAACGCAGCCTAAACAGTATGGCACAGAGAACACAGATATGAACCCATATGAAGTTAAAGTAAAATACTGCAAAGAACGAAATCTCAGCACTGAGACCTATACAACAAAAGACCTATGTACTAAGAAATCAACATTAAAACTAGGCGAGACGCAAAAAGTTAGTTATTTATAATTATCATAAATACAATCATTTATTACTATAATATTTCCACAGATAATGATAGTTCAAAAACGTACGAAGACGTGTTATCTTGTACACTCTGTGGAGAGTAGAAATTCTGTTATCACCTTGTGCGATAAACTACGCGAAATGGAAAATAACTTGAGATGCATCCAGAAAGTTGAAAAGTACGACATGTGCTTGATATTTTTTGGCGCTGAATGGTACCGTGGGAAAATTATGGACGAGACGAACGATGGTATGTAAAAAATTTACTTGATTGACATAGAACAAACGATGTTGTTTAACCGAAAAGATGTCTAAGAAATGCCAAAGCAATTTGAAGGAGAGTCATTATTAATTGAAATCGTCGTAACACCTCCGCCAAATGAAATGCTGACTACTATTTTTGCTAACGTAGAAGCAATAAAAACTATTGGACCGAGTACGGTGGTGAAACTGATTTGATTATAAATTACTATACTACCTTATAACTCCTATTCATTTGCATTCGACAGTCAATGTATATATTCCTTAACGCTGTTAACAGAAGATTACGGGCTGTAATGATGTCTTTTTATATTATATATATTTTTTTCATTACCTTTGTTATGAACTATTTGTATTTTCATAACTAATCATCTTATTGCTTTGTTTATTATTTATATATTTGCTTGTAGTTACATTTTCATTTTTTTTTTTTTGCTGTATTGTTAAATTTTTTTGTTCGCTTATCTGTTTAAATCAAATAAAGCTGTTCGACACTTATTAAACATTGTTATCATATAATTTTATTAAATTATTTTGTACGTTAATTAGTTAATACATTTTCAATTGTAAATTAACCAAAGAGTTCCAATAAGTTAATAATACACTATGTATTAATGATAGTAACAGTACTTCTTTAATTATTGATCATAGTGTCCCTGAAACTGTTCTAAGGCCTATATTATTTATTTTATATATAAATAATTTACTTAATATTTAATTTGAGGCCAAATATGTTTTGCTGATGATACTGTCATCAGTAATCATGTCATAACTTTAATTNATACTGTCATCAGTAATCATGTCATAACTTTAATTTAGTTCTCAAACGTTAAAGAAACACAATTAATGATTGTATTATTTTATTCTATACAAATATCAGGATTAATTCATTGAAAATTTAAATTATAAAAATGATTGATTGTTTATCATAACTTTCAACAAATTTCATTAAAATTTCTATTAATTCTAATATTTAGTATATTTTTACGATTATAACAAAAATTAGGTATTTAAAATGTAGTATTTAATAAATATTTTTAACATATAAATGAGATATATTGCAATAATATAAATAAATAATTTTACAAAATTAAAAAGTCCTTTATTAAATTAGAGGAAATAATTTCCTCTACAACATTATCAATAATTAAAGAAGCTATATGTCAGATTTTTTAAATTCAGACTTGCATTCTTATCTTTAATCAGTTATTAAAAAATATATTCACAATAAAAGCACATAAAATAT